TCTTGAAAAACATTTAATTGCTTTACGATTACCATTCATGAAAGTTATAAATTTAACATCAGGTAAATTATCAAGTAGATTAGCACAAAAAGGTACTAAAGGACCACTTCATTGTGTACCATCAGATGTACAAGATACTGTAACCACATTGCCTCGTTCAGTTGATAAATCCATGATGGTCCGATTACAATTGAAACGACGACTAAAACATAAAGCTGTATGGGAAGAACAATTAATAAATCCAAATGATGTAAGAGATGCACTATTTGTTTTAACTAAGATGCATCCAGGCTATAAAAATATAAAGATAAATGAAATTGATGAAAATTATCTTACATCTGATCAAGAAAAAAAACTACGACAATAAGATTGAGTTAGTAGTTGAACCAATGGATGTTGACACAATTTCAGAAGAAAATATCATTGATGAAACATAAGTATCTAATGAAAATCGTCTAAAAGCATTAGCTTTAGGTGATATTGATAATACTATTGATACTGATGAAGAAATAAATAAAGATGATAAAGACATTCGTACTAAATACAATATTGGTACAGATTCATGTACTCAACCATGTGATTTTAATGATTTTTTTAGTCTTTGATAAAGAACCATACGTAGTAGCACCAGCTGAAAAATGTAAATTGAGTTCATTGTTAACAGATAAAACAATTGAAGCTTTGGCCTTTCCTCATTTATTTCCAGATGGACAAGGCTCATATGATGAAGAACGTGAAACAAATCTAAAATGGAAAGAATATTGTAAAGCACGTTTGTTTTCATCAGATTCTCGCTTTGCTGCTGATTCAAGTTATATCTTTTATCTACAGTATTTAGGCGACTTGAAACAAGTATATTCTGGAATAAATATTGCTTTCCGAAAAAAACTACCAATGAATGCCAAACAAAGTTTTGATGAAATGCAAATGAAATTTCTAATGAATAAAGATATGATATATCGTCATTTGCAATCAGTCCGAGGTAGTCCACAGTATTGGCATCAACGACTAAAAGATTTATTCGGAATGACACGTCAATTAGGTTTTCCAACTTTTTTTATTACACTGTCGTGTGTCGATCTACGTGGGAAAGAATTTATTGACACATTTGTACGTCATACAGGACTTACAGTTAAAGAATCATATACATTTGAAGAAAAGACAAAACTTTTACGA